CCCCAAAACCCCAAAACCCCAAAACCCCAAAACCCCAAAACCCCAAAACCCCTCTATTGTTCTGAATTATTGAAAAAGAATATAAAAAAGTATTTTTATAGCTTTGAGATAAATTAAATCATGCCTCCTATTTTTCTTTGGATCTAAGTTTTTTTTAGATCATCAAGAGGGTATTCTTCCACATAGTAATGATAAAGCTCCTTTTCACTTGCAATCATGCCGTATCTACAATTTTGATCCCTTCATCAGACTTGAGCTTCACTGTCTTCATCAAACCACCTCTCTTCAAGTTAATTTTACTCACTCGAGGAACATCTCAGTTAGTGCTAATTCAGGTGAGTACTGATAAAGGAAAACGCTCTTTCAAAAGAGCTCTTCCTGAAATAGCTTTGTACTCTTGCTAGTGTGAGTGGAGGCATTATCAACTATTAGTATTATTGTTCGGCTCATATAGTCTACCTGATTTGTCTAAAAATCAGAAAGTCCTATCAAAAACTATTGGAATCGGTTTGAGTTAATGGTCTGAGGAAAAGTCTAACATATATTCACCTTTCAAAGGAATAGCTGGAATAATTAATAGAGAGCCTCTAAATACCTCATTATTAACTTTTCAGTCAATACCCTTACGAAGCCATGAGAACCTAGTCAAGATGGACCTGTTTATTGTGCCTTCATCAACCCTTCACAAGCAAATAGTTTAGGTTGATAAATGACAAAAAGTTTGTCTCAATAATAGAGTTGAGAAAGAAACACTCTCTACCTCAGTAACTCTATGATTCTCTAAAAGCCCTTCTTATAAAATAAGTTTAAGTCCTTCTTCATGGATTTTCGGACTAAGTGAGATCTAATTTCTTGTTCAGACTGGAGTTTTATATGATCTCACACATCTTTAGCGATGAATGGGACTGTTTACTAGTTCACAAATGATACTATTTGCTTTAGAATACAGTGTTTCCTGATCTCTCCATTTTATGCTTCTCTCCGAAAACTATCAGAACTCTGATTTTCTATCTCTGTTAACTTTACTATTGGGTATATTCTAGAATAACTGAGAAAGTGTCTACTGCAGATTTTTGAGACTATCTTGTCATCTTCCTCATATAAGACCCTGAGGGATCATTTTCTTTGGACGTAAACCTTTGATAAGTTTCTCTCTGTATCAGAAGCTCTTCAACCTCCCCCGAATCAATATTTAGTTCCTCCATAAGCTCCCTTAATGAATCTATGCCCTTTTATTCTTCTTCTTGATTAGATGTTTTCACTCAGAGTAATTCAGCTACTTAGCTAGTTTGTCTTCTCATGAGTTCTTCTTTGAGAAGACCGATGATTCTATCGTGGTTCAAGTTCTCTCGCCATCTCAGCTCATATTGGGGCTCCCTTATGAACTACTGTCAGATTCTTCTGCTTATCTAGAGAGTATCGGCCTTGTTGCTGAGTGCTTTGAGCTTATCAGGTTTTATTGAGTTTAGCATTAAGCTTTCAGAAAGTCTAGGTCAGAACTGCCAAATTCTAATTCTCCTTGGAGTAAATTCCCCTTATGTATTATTAATATTAAGGATTTAATAAGAACAATACTTCTTGCTCTATTGGGGTTTTGGGGTTTTGGGGTTTTGGGGTTTTGGGGTTTTGGGG